ATAGTCATAACAAAACACTGTATGAATAGTGCATATGCACATGCATGTATGTTCCTTTCACAATTCAGGAAAACAGAGAAGGTGCTTTGTTTTAGATGCTTAAGAATCTGACCGCTGCAACTTAGAAATAGAATCAATAGTGGCTGTCAGTATTTTAAATTTCTTTTGAATCACAGATACAGTTCATTTTAAAAACTGAGAAGAAATTTTCTCAGACCACCAGAAGCAGTATTTTTTGCCTCTGGAAGTGTCATTTTAAAATGGGGAAGCATAGATCAAAGTAAAATTATTAGTAGGCTGAATTGCACTAAGAACAAACATCAACATTGAATTCAACTCAAAAAGTAGTGATTTATGTTATGACACACCCAATATTGAGATGGGCTGACAACAACAAATTTCTATTTTAACAGCTAACATCCTCTCAACAGGTATGTGCTTTTTTTAGTATTTTTGCAGTATAATACATAGATATAAATTTCACCCATAATTATGCCAAAATTTAAAAATGATTTTTTTTATTACCTGTAATCTTTTTTTCTTTTCTGGGGTGATTCTTGCACCTGTCCAGGGGATAAACCACTGTCCTTGCTGCCAGCTGTGCTTGTTATCTGATAGATGACTTTTATTTGAAAATTTAAATCCCCCCTCAGTCTCCTCCAGACAAAATAACCCTAGCTCTTTCAGCCTTTTTTTATAAGTATTGTTTCCCAGACTCTTTTGCAAGTAGTCCAGTAGACAGTCACAATTGGTTGACATCTTTCTTGAAGTGCACAGCCCAAAACTGGACACAATACTCCAGGAGAGGCCTCACCAGTGCCAAATAGAATGGAAGGTTCAATTCCCTTGATTTACAAGTGACACTCCTATTAATATAGCCCAATCTGGTGGTGGCTTTTTTTGTAACAAGCATACTTTGGGCTCATTTTCAGCTTATAGTCTACTGTAACCCCTGTGTCCTACAACCTAAACAATCATTGCCCAAATATGCATTTGTATGTGCAATTATTTTGTCCCAAATTCAGGACTTTGAAAAGTACATACACAAAAGAATCTCCTAAAGCAGCAGTTCCCAAACTCTGACAGATTGCGCACCACCAATTGAAAACGATACAACCTTAAGTACCACCAGCAAATTTTTCATACCACTGCATACCACTGACAGGTTGTCTGTGTACCACTGGTGGTACGTGTACCACAGATTGGGAACCGCGGTCCTAA